ATTTTTAGGGATCCCTACTTATGATCCACTTAGATATTTGGGTACCCGAAATTTTTTTTTAAAAACACAGAGGTTTTAAAAAAGTAGCAAAAGTACCCAGACATATATTACCCAGACCACATGGTAATATGAGCACCTTAAATTAGCTCAAAAAAATAACATTAAGTAAAAAAAAAAACAACCAACCTGACAATTAAAACTAATTTTTGGAATATAATGATTCGTTATTAACAAAACTTATCATTAAAAGATAAAATTTTAAGCCACTTTTTGTTGAAACTATGCTATATTTTCCGCAAAAAAAAAATTAGTTCCTTATTTTTTCAATTTTATTAACTCAAAACTTTAAACGAAAAAAATTCAAATTTTTTAAATTTAAATTGCAGAAAAATATTTAATTTTGTTAAAATATTAAATTTTTTCACTATGTTTTGTTTTTATTTAAAAAGCAATTAAAACCACTGTTATTTTAGGACTTTAAACTAGGTAATTTCAATAAAATACACTGGGTAATTTGAGGATGCTCATATTACTCAAAAATGGCATCTTTAAATAAAGTCTAAGCTAAATGTTTCTACGTTTTGTTTTTTAAACTAACATACTTTTCTTTAAGAAAAAATTAATTTGATTATTTTAGCACTAAAATTTCGCGCCACAGATTTATTCATGAGCGATGATATTATTTTAACAACGCAAAAAATTTAACAGCGTTTTTAAAGCAACTTTAAGTTCACTTCACACATCTAAAAAATCTTTAAGTATGCTCATATTACCAAGGTGCTCATATTACCCTAATCTACCCTATATAATTTTTTTTCGTTAAGTATAACTCAAATTTTTATTCGTTAAGTCTGATTAAAAAATGTCATTGAAAGTATATTTTGAATAACAATTCTCAAATATATTCATTACAATACCGCTCAAACATACTTGCAACTATATATATGGACCATATGATAGCCACATCTAATTTAGCACGTATTTATTCAAGGATTATACCACACAAAGTGGATGCATTATGTGTTCAACATGTGGGCAACACTGATTATCAGCATATATATCAATCATTAACTGGAATATACTTTTACACTTTTATTCCACTTGTAAGCACTATAGCCGCATGTGGGCCACATATACCTTTCTTGTCGGGCAGGCAAATTTAAACAAAATGTTCAGATTGCTCTCGACATTTTTCATGAAACTAAATTAGCTGGTATAAAATCTTATTTTCCGAATTGTAAAGATGTTTCAATTTTTCTTTATCTTTTTAATACGTGTTACACAACTCAAAAGACTAATTTTGCTTTAGTAATCAACTTGGAACAGCAGCTATTAAAGATGGCAAAAAAGAGTTTTTGCATGCAATGGCATAGTGACTTTCAATTTGGAAAACTTCAAAACTTTTAATTGTGAAAACTTTATCTTATCACGTCAAACATTTTCAGCTTTACAAAGAACACTTTTATGCCAAACATCACTAGACATTCATGACTAGACACCAGAAGACCTTTTAAATAATGTCTTTAATTTTATTTCAACTTCTCGTTTCCAAAGTGACCTTATTTAAGGGCGTTTTTGCCATTATCGACAAATGAGTGGTGGCAGTTTTCTGATAAACCTAAAGGATGTTTTATATAGTGAGAGAATAATAAAAATAAAAAATTTTATAAAAGAAAGCATTAATATTATAAAATATGATATCTTAGCTAATGAAACGAAATGTTCAGAGGAATTTTAAAATAAAATAGATATTAATTTTCAAGATGTTACATTTTCTGATGAATCTCGAAAAGTTACAGTGTATATTCCGGGTATTTTTCAAAAAAAAAATGATAAAAATGTTTGGAGAATGATGCAAAAAATTTTGTATTTGCAATAATTATCCGATAGATTCACAAGATACACATATAATATTTTGTCAAGGTGTGGACACTACCATTTTACCACATTACCATCAGCTTATCTTGTCGATTATGTGATGCTTTTGCTTTTATCGATTTAGTTTTTGATATCAATAATTCAAAACTGCAAGACAGAAAAGCAGATAAACTTATTCTCAATATTTTCATGAAACATGCATAAATTTTATGTTTCACTCACTGGATTAAGGATCGAGATCAAACATATTCTATTTCAAACAAACTTCCCTCATTTATTATATAGTTCATGTTCCAATTTGCCAAGCGATTACAATTACTTCTTTGTTTAATCTACCGAATCACATTTACTTTCTAATCATGATATAAAAATTAATGAAAAACAAGACATTATTGAAACTTTAATATAAATCTATGATGTTTTTGTGAATTTACATATAAATGGGGGTTCTTTTAATGTAGTTGTTATAAGTTAAAAATTTCATGATCACCGGTTAAGCCATCGAAATTCAAAAAAGAATAACTTTTACTAAAACTTTAATTTAGTATCATTATTATGAATTTCCTCTATATTAAAAAAAATTTAACGTAATTTAATACGTATGTTAAACGTAAAAGAAAACGTACTATGCATTATAAAAACTTCGCTAGTCGCCAAAATCAACAGTTATAAAAACTTCACTAGTCGCCAAAATCAGTGATTAAAAAATTGTCAAGATTAGATCTATAAAAAAAAATCTAGAGGGCTGGGGCAAGGAAAAGACGCATTCAGTCTTATTGCCAAGCCCCTTAACTTACAACGAGTAAGATAGATTCGGTTAATATGAGCATTTTGATAATAGGTATTGTGGTTTATCCTCCTCCAGCTAATTGCCATACGGAGGCCACATTACCAAGGACCGCAAAGACAAGTTCAGCTAATAAATAGCGTCATTACTTGCTCTACGGACCAAGAGTAAAGTGAGTTTAGGAAGAACGAAGAATGTTAGAAAGATAGCACACAGAAAGCGGACAGGATTGCACACGATGTTAGAAGGTGCAATATGTTAATATACACATAATTGGCTTAAGCCAATTAATGTATGCAATATATATATATATATATATATATATATATATATATATATATATATATATATATATATCTATATATATATATATATATATATATATATATATATATATATATATATATATATATATATATATATATATATATATATATATGTATATATTTTGATAATATGAGCATACCAAGAGATATATAAGATGTGAGCAGTGAAGTACAAAGTGGTTTATAATTTTTGAATTGACTATATGCGGTGATAACAAAAAGCAAGATAATTAGCGTAAATTTATACGCATTAATTAGCGGTTTTCATCTAATTAAAACGCTATAAAATATTTTGTTTGTTAAAATATTTAAAATCATTTCACAAAAGAATCTGTGGCGCAAAATTTTGATGTTAAAACACAGACATAATATCAAAATAAATTTATTTTAACATCAAAATAAATTTATTTTAACATCAAAATAAATATTTTAACATCAAAGTAAATGTTTACTTATTCATAGAAAAAAATTAGACATTTACACGTTATTCAATTTTTATTTGGAAAGTAATGCATAAGAAAATTTGTTTTTGACTTCACTTAAAGATATCATGATCGTGTATTATATGCATGTTCAAATTTCCGAATGATTTTTTGTGAAATTACCTAGTTTAGAGCTCTAAAATTGCAGTGGTTTTAATAGCTTTTGAATAAAAGCAAAGCATAGTAAATATTTTTAATATTATAACAGTATTAAATATTTTTCTGAATTTCAAGTTTGCATTTTTATTGTTTAAAAGTTTTAATAAAATCGAAAAATCAACGAATTAATTTTTTTACTTGTTGCATAAAACAAAGTAGTGCCAATAAAAAAGTTTTTTTTTTTGAACTTTTAAAGTTTTGTTAATAGTAAATCATTAAATTCAACAAATTAATTTTAAATAAAATTGTGGAATATGTCAGGTTGGCATTTCTTAATTATTTAATGTTGTTTTTTGAGCTAGTGTTCACATTATTATGTGGTCTGAGCATTTTCGCTACTTTTTAAAAACTTTTGTGTTTTCAAGAAAAAAATTTGAGTGCCTTAATATTTAAATGGATCATGAGTAGTGATCTCTAAAAATTATTTGTTCGCAAAAATTTTGTATCCAGCATAATAATTCCAATTTTTGCTCATAATACCCTAATTTACCTATAACAAAATGTAAAACTTAAAAACTTTATATTTTATAATATAATGTAAAACTTAAAAATTTTATACTTATTCATAAAATATTTTTATTAAGTCTTTATATCACTGAACACCGCAGAATAGCATTTAACCAGGAAGTTCACGCCACCTTCCTTACCAAAAATGCAAGTTAAATCTGTAACCTATATACCACAGCTGCTAATGATATACTATTATCACTTTGTGGTAATAATCTATTATTAGATTTATCATAACGATAAGATCATAAACACAAAAAAATGTTCGATTCGTCCACTAGTATAATTTTTTAATATCGTCAGGTACAAGTGTGAAAAACATGTTGTTTTTTTAAAAAAAAAAAAAAAAAATCTTGTTAAAAAAACATGATAGCAAAATCTTTATTTTACAATAATGACTTTTTTTACTAAGCTTCTTTTAAGAGGATTTTTGACATTTTTTTACAAAGAATGTTTGTTTTTTTTACAACGATAGTAGATTTTTGATATTTTTTTTACAAAGAATTGTTTATTTTTTACAATAAGAATAGATTTTTAAATATCCAAAAAAGATTTTCGCTTTTTAACTAAAGGTCAAAACTTTTTGAAATCAATGAACAATATGGATCAAAGTTCATTAACTTTGACCATTCATTAACTTTGACCATTTAAAGCAACGTTGATTTCCAAACGTTAATATTTAATTCACGAACGTTATTGATATTAAATTTAGGCGCGTCATTGAGTATAAATAGAATTAAATTTAAGCACGACATCGAGCTTAATATATAAAAAAAAAAAAAGATTTTATTGTACGTGCGAATTTACTGTTACGGAGGATATATAAAATAAATATAGACGAAATAAATAAACATACATTACCGTAGGTGGGCGACTTGTAATTCATACTTTTGACATAGAGCACGTGATTCTTCTCTCCATCTTAATAAGATTAATTATTTAAGAGACTCAAAATTTCTTTATAAAAGAAAATAATAAAACATGAAACAAATTAATAAAGTTTTAATTGTACTTACTGTAACAAAGCAATACATGTCTAAAAATTTTAACCGTATGATTTTAAGCTCTAACTACTGATTTATACTACTTACTTAGACGCAGATTTCTGCTGCACTCTTAGCATATCACGTAACTCATTTGCAGCTTCCCTACCAGACTCCTCTGAAGCACGAAGAAGAGATTGAAAGTTTTTTTCTTTCATCTCGATTTTTTGCTCCAACAATGCTACCTAAAAAAAAAATTTCTAAAAAAGCGTTTAAAAAGTCAGTATGTCTTCAGAAATTTTGATATTTGGAATTTTAAACCCAGCATTTCAAGTAAGAAATATAGAGCACCTTTGCTGCATTTGACAACTCCTGAGAAACATCGTTTTCTCGATTTACCAAAACCTTTTTTTTCAAAGTGTTTAGCTCTTCTGCAGTAAAAAAATTAATCGTATGCATTTCTCCAAAATAAAACCAAATAAAAAGCTACACAACAAGTTTAAAAATAAAAATAACAATACCCAGTAATAACAACCTCGAGTTTGCCATTTCATCAAGGTCATTTTTCATACATGCTAACTTCTTATTGGAATCATTGACACTTTTTGTGAGAACATTTTTTTCGTTTTCCCACCTTAAAAGGTAATAATATAATTTTTTTAAATTCATTCAAGAATCGCTATTAAAAAACACGTATTCCCTTACAACGGTTCATTGTTATTTTTTTATATTTTAAAAATTTTTTAAATATAACAAAAAAAGTTTTTTACATTAATAAAATACAACTTATTTATAGATTTTTTACAAACTATCGTAAATAAAAACCTTGTTTGTAATCTTTTAAAATTAGCCTGAAGATTTTCGTTTTGCAAGTAAGCATCGTCACGAGCCATTTCAGCCCGCGCTAGTCTTACATGAAGCTCATCCAATGTCTGTCCAGCTTTCGTAATTTCAATCGGGCCTTCTTGATAAATCTATACAAAACAACAATAAAACCTTATAAAATGTGAAAACACTTTATGTTACTTAGCATTCTTCTATTAGGTTATACAACCTAAAGAAGAGTTTGATTTCGTAATTTGCATATTTTATAAATCAAATTAAAATTTTTAAAACACTTAGCTAGTATTAAGACTTTGTCTGTGGACTTGGGTTCGACATTAAAAAATTAGTTTAAAAAAAAAAAAATTAATGATAATGATAAAAAACAACTATATACAAAAATAACCTTTTCTATTTCATTTTCTAATGCCAGCTTCTCTCTGTATGACTTTTCAAGCAATGCTTGCTTCTCAGCACACTCCTAAATTAATAAATTCAACAATTGAATTATTTTTTTTGAAATATGAAACATGAAATGATAATACGAAATATGATTTATGATAATAAACAATATAAGATAAATGAAATAAAAATATGATCAAGTAATAAATTTTTTTTAGTTATTTATTTAAAAATTCGATGATTGTTTCAACTGAAATATTTTTTTAAAATAATGAAAGATACTGTAATAAATGTTCAATAGAGATATTTTTCAAACTTATCATAAATAGTTTAAATTATTTAAATCATAGTAATGATTTATAAATAAACTTTTGTCAAATATTATTTTTAGTTAAAAAGTAATTTTCAGAGTCGAAAAATGTTTAATAATAATAATAATAATAATAATAATAATAATAATATAATCATAGATTTTCAGCGACAAAGTGTTTATTTTAAAGGTCGTTATAAATGTTTTTACAACAGTTTTTAGATTTATTGTATTGCATTACAATGCATTACAAAAACTTGAAAAAAAAAAAAATTACATAATGCATTACAAAAACAATTTTGCAAAATTGTTTTTAGATTCATTGTAATTGGTTTTTTCGGCATACTTTGTAATAGTTAATGCGGAGCGTGGGTTTTAATTTTGAATAGTCTGAACGCTGTAGTACCAAATATAAAATGACACTCCCTGATTAGAAAAAGAAATTAAAATATTTAAACAAGACATAAGCTTTTTAGATATTAGACACCAACTATCAAAGGATTACCATTTTTAAATAAATAAAAAAAAATGAACATTTAAATATTGCTTATAACAAGTTGCAAAGTATTTAGGAATATTATCGAAAGTATATAAAATATGGAGTTTTGTGTATCTTCAAAATCAAAAAAAATAATATTCTTTATTAGTTTTATTGCAATACTGACCGTAACTTTAATAAGTACACTATATTACCGCGACAAAACTGTAAAACGCAAAGAAATAAGAAACTTAAAATTATGGGAAAATATGAGATTGGCTGATGATATCGTTCCATACAGTTACAATTTATCAATCGACGTAAACATGGGTAATGACTTATTCGATGGCGAGGTCAGTATTTATGTAAACGCAATAAAGTCGACAAATTTAATTATTTTACATCAAGTTGATCTCCAAATTATAAATGTTTCGTTAAAAACTATTGAAGGCAACCAAGTTCAAATCGAAAATCACTTTAAATATCCGATAAACGAATACTACGTAATTAAAGTTGTTTCAATGCTCACAGCTAATAAGGTGTATATTATCTCTATTGACTTTAACGGAGCATTGCGTTCAGATCTTAGTGGATTTTATAAAAGTAGTTATCACGAAAATAATATCACACACTATGTAGCATCAACTTTTTTCTCTCCCATAAGTGCAAGAAAAGCATTTCCTTGTTTCGATGAGCCGAAATTTAAGGCCAAGTTTTTTCTGTCTCTTACTCATAATGAAAAATACCATGCTCTCTCAAACATGCCAAAACTAAATAGCACACATAACGGAACAAAAATAACTACTATTTTTCAAGAAACACTTAAAATGTCTACATATATTGTTTGCTGGGTAGTTTCAAACTATAGTAACATTGAGTTAGTAACTAATAATGGGTTAGTTATAAAAGCTTGGGCACCGTATAACCAGCTCATTGAAACAGAATTTACCTTAAACGCAACAGTAACTCTGCTAACATTTTTTGAAGACTATTTTAAAATACCGTTTCCACTGAAAAAACTAGATATTGTTGCAATACCAAACTTTGGACCAGGAGCGATGGAGAATTGGGGTTTAATAACATATAGGTCTGCAAAAATGCTAATAAATAACAAAGTATCAACAGAAATAGATAAGCAAGCAGCATTTTTGATTAATGCGCACGAATTAGTACATCAGTGGTTTGGCAACCTAGCAACAATGAAGTTTTGGACTGACGCCTGGTTAAAAGAAGGTATATATATATATATATATATATATATATATATATATATATATATATATATATATATATATATATATATATATATATATAATCAAATGCATCATAAATAATATAAATTATTTATAAGAATATATTTAAAGAAATTCATTATTACACTAGGTTTTGCTAATTATATTGGTTACTATGGATCTGATCAAATCGAACCGAGTATGGAATCTATGAAAAAGATTCTTACTGAATTGATGATACCAGCGTTTAAGTTGGATTCATTTTTGACATCGCACCCAATATCCACAAAAGCTACAAGTCCGAATGAAATTCGAGAAATATTTGATACAATAACATACAACAAAGGTTCATGTATGGTTCAAATGCTTCATAATTATTTAGGAAAAGAAAAATTCAAAAAAGGACTCCAACAATATCTCAACACATATGCGTATTCAAATGCCGATCAAGATGATTTGTGGAAACAATTGAGGTAATTTAATTTATTACGTAATTTGTTTTTAGATTAATTTAAAGTTTACGTGCTCGATAGATTTTAAATTATTTGCCGAAACTTTTAATTAGTTATTTCGATTTCAACGTAAAAAAAAATTTAAAAATATTTACTAAAAAACGCATATAATACAAAATCGTTTTAATGCATCAGAAAACGTTTCACTTCACTTATGGAGTAAAACAAATTTTAATATAAAGTATTAATTGAAAGATTTTATTAAGTGTTTATATCTTATTGCATTTAAAAGTTTACAAAATATAGTAACCTACTATACTATGGCAAAAAAATAAAGTTAAAACATACTCATTTAGAAAGGCTACTCTACCTGACCATACCCAATCTTTATATAAGAGAAATTGCTGCTAAATATATATAAGAATATATAACAGATAAAGTAACTAAAATATAGATAGGTAATAATAAACAAATTTAATTTTAGTATAGCGAGTGGCGAAGATGTGAAATCTGTAATGGACACTTGGACTTTGCAACTTGGTTTTCCAGTTATTTCCATCGAACGACTAGACAACAATACTGTAATTATATATCAAGAAAGATTCAGCTTAGACGTTGCAAATAAAGGTACGTATAAAAAGTTTATAAATATAGTAAACAACTGTGCAAAAAAATATAATAATTTTTTAACACAGATTTTAGGCAAGCTAAAAAGTAATTGGGTCGACTACTTTTGAACAAAAATTTTTAATTTGATTTTAATTTAAATTAGAATAAGCAAAGTTTTAGAAAAAATAGTATTTACTAATGACGTCTGTGTTTATAAATAACTTACTATGCATAGATCATAAAGGTTAAAAAACGTTTTGCAAAAAAAAAAAAAAAAAAAAAATTTGAAAAAATCCGAGTTTCTTTTCGAAAAAAACATTTTGCTTATAATTATCATAACTTTAATCTAATGGCTTTCTCAATTTTTTCTTTTTTGTATAGGTAATAACTTAAAAAGTTTAAAAACACATATTATTGCAAAAATATTTATTTAAACTAGCGTTTACGGAAGATTTTTTGAAAATCCGGAAAAACTAAAAGTTAAAAGAAATATCCGGAATTCCCGATATATCCGGAAAAAAACAATCCTTGTTTAAATGATTAAAAAAAATAGTAATATAAGAAAAAGTGATTATGTAGTAAAAAATAAATTAAAAGTGCTTATTTAAAAAAAGAATTGAACCCAAAATGAAGTCATAAAAGCTGTTACTTTTAAAACTTACAGTGTTAGTATTTTTCATTATGTAATCCAAACAATAATGAGAAAAAAAAAATAAAAATAGAAACGACGTTATACTATGACGCAGATAAGCTCGTTCAACTATATTTGTAAATAAATAACTTTATATGAACAATAAACAAAATATATAAAAGAGAAAAAATGCGATGTAATAAAATTTGTTTAAATCTGAGTAACAATTATGCAATCGGATATAAATTTATGCAATCGGATATAAATTTATGCAATCGGATATAAATTCGCATTTATAGACGCTAGAGTCTAATCGTCAAAAGTTATGGTAAAAAAGCTTGCATATCAGGGGTCGTCCATAAAGTACACACGCTTTTTTTTTCCCCCATACGTTTTTTTGAGTACCCTCTACCTCCCTAAAAGTACCTACGCTTTTAACCTACGAACCAACATTTTATGATATTTTTTTTAATTTAGTGTCTCCATACTTTTATAATTGACCTACTACCCCCCCCCCCCATCTCATACACGCCATTTGCAGACCTCTCCTTCATCTCCGAACATACGTACTATATAGACAATCCCTTATTACGTTTCTTTAAAAAAAAAAAACAATTTTTTTTAATAGTAAGGTACTCCCAGATGTTCTTACGTTCTTATCGTAGAGCACCGCGGAGAATTTACCTAGAAAGTTCACATCTGAGTAAGAACTCCAACCATTGCGCCGCGGCTGTTTTACTACTCTAACCAGGGCTGATTTATGTATTTTAATCACTGCACTATTAAAAACTAACTTAAAAAAATTGTTTTTTAAATCAAAGTTTGACATTGTGCTTTCTCTTCTCTAAAACAGCAAAATAATAAACGCAGTTTATTATTTTTAACATTCAAACCGAAATTAAACAAGTTTTAAACTAGTATTTCAGGCGCGTTTTTCTTTTTTTCGAACAAATAAAAAAAAAATCAATAGAAAAACAAAATAGCTTTGGTAATAGAGACTTATGTATACATATACAATGTATAACTTTTTTTCAATGTATAACTTACATACATTAACATTACACACAGATTAACAATCAAAGCTTATACAAACATTAACATTGAGAAAAAAACATGTTTTTACTGTAATATTTTAGGCGCATTTTACAAGGGCAGATTCATCATTTTTTAGTTTTAAAGTTATTAAAACATAATAATATTGCGTCTCAAAATCAGTTAACCATTGTTTTTAAGTAATGCAATAAATAAAGTTTTATATCTAATTTAAATTCTTAATATCTTGTTTGTTATAATAAATAATAATTAGATACCTTGCCGAAGGATTAAAAAAAAAAAAAAGAAAAGAAAAAAGGAAAAGAAAAAAGGAAAAGAAAAAAGTTTGATAACTATAAACACTTTTTAACTTATATTTTTAATTTAATGGGATTCAAATCTGAAATTTTATTTGTTTTAAACAGGGCTGTGGAGTCGCAGTTGGAAAAAAGGAGTCGGAGTTGGAAACAGGAAAAAAAAAAAGAAAAAAAAAAAAAAAAAGTTTGATAACTATAAACGCTTTTTAACTTATGTGTTTTAATTTATTTGTTTTGAACAGGGCTGTGGAGTCGGAGTCGGAGTTGTGGAGTTACGACATTTTCAGCGGAGTCGGAGTCGCTAAACAAAATCGCGACTCCGATTCCAATAGTAAAAATTCTCGGTATTGCACGTGCATGTAAAAAACATTCAATTAACCTTATTTTCAAACTAACCTCAAAAAACGTTTCATAAATTTGTTAACAAAAAAAATTTTAAAGTTATTGCGTAATATTTTTTAAAGAATTCAAAGAATTTTTCTTTGGAGTTGGAGTCGTAGCTGTTCTCCAAAAATTTTAACAACTGGAGTCGGAGTCGTTACTTTTTTTTTAAGACTCCACCTATAGGACCACCTTCCCCCAACGAAAGTAATTTTTAGGTTATAGCCATTTTTTGACGAATTTAGTCAGCTAGTCGGGTATTTTACACAATTCAGTTGGGAAATTTTATTTTTTTAACCTATTGATACTTTTAAGGATTCACCCCCATTCCCTAATTTTATTCGTAGAATCGCCTCTGTGTGCAGGGGGCGTCCCACCCCAACCCCTCCAAAGCTGTTATATATGCATTTGAGTATATGCACAGAGACACAAAAAAAAAAGGTCCTCGATATTTATATAATTTTTTAACGACGTCAAAATAAAAAACAACAACTTTAAAACATAAAATAAGAAATTTTTTCAAAATGGTTGAAGATTCGTGGCACAGTTAAGGATGTGCTGTACAGTTGATGCATGATTCATTGCACAGTTAATTTATGATTTGTTGCACAGTTGATGCATGATAATAAAAGAACTAGTGGGATAAGATTTATTTTTAAGCTAATAGTATATTGCCATTATGATATAGACCAAAAACAATATTGTGACTTTTTTTACCCAAGACTGGGGCAAATACTCATCCTTGATTTGAGCAAGTCAAATGCTGTCGCATAAACTATTTAATAATTTGAACAACTTTTTAATGTCAAATTTCTCTAGTTTATTATTAATTGAAAAGATAATATGTAAACTTTTAACTTTTCACGTCCTTTTTAATATTTACATAAAATATAAACTTATATTACACATAAAATATAAACTTATATAGCGCACGGCTGTTTCACTGAATATAAAAGCGAGCTTGACGTCACATGAATTTTTGTGTTAAAAAAAAAAAAGAATTTCCGCATAAAAAGTATAAAAATTCACTCATTTTAAATTAATAGTATTTTTTTTCTATAAATGCTTTCATTTTTAAATAAAAAAATATAAAAAAACAATCTTTCTTCGTTAAGTAAATATTTACGTTAAACGAAATAGAAATAAACATTGTTAAAATATCTTAAATGATTTTGGATCACTTTTCTGTTTTTGGCGATTTTTACGGAAAACCTGTTTTGAGCCAACCAAGATTCGCTAACATAGCTACATGGCTGATGGTTGAAATTTGGAACAATTATCAATGAATGTCTATTCTATCAGAATCCTACGTCATCCTGGTGATTTTTTTTACTATAACTCAATTTTTAATGCATTTATACATTTAAATTTATCTTTTTTAAATGTAAAATATAATTTTATTGATGGATGGCGTAAGTTAATGAAATTTCGACCTTTTATGCCGAAGAAAATATAAAAATTATTTTATGTACCTTTGCTATGTTAGCGAATATGTTTTCAAACTCGGCATATTTAGCAACTTTTTCTAGTTTTTCGCATAAATTTTTGTTTACGTTATTAAAGCAATGACGTAAAACATAAAACTTTAAAACATTTTCTCTAATATTTTTTTGCGATTTTGTTTTATGACCTAATTATCTCTGTTTCAATTAACATAAAGATTAAGTAATATTTTATAATAATTTGTTTTTATAATAGTCTAATAATGTTTATAACTTGTTAATAAATATTAGAAATATATATTTTCAATTTTTTGTTGATGAAAAGTAACAACTAATTACTAAAGTTCAGCCAATTTCATCATATGTCGCGTTTTTTCTAAACTAAAAGAAGTTTTTTTACTATTATATTAAATGTCATATGATAAAACACTTTATTGTTGTTTTTATTCCTTTTACAAAACAAAATTATCTTTAATATTTCAAAAGTTATAAGTATTTTAGTTACACCCCTTACGTTAAAATTAAAAAAAAAAAAAAAACAAGAAGCCGTAAAGCTCACTTTGAAACAGCCATTGGCGTTAAAGTTAAATATTTGAAGGCACTACTTTAGGGTTTCATCGATCTTTAAAAGTCATAAGTAATTATAAGTAATTCTAGATATTCATAACAAAGTTTAAATTTTCTCCGTAGCCCTAAAAATTGCCCGACTTTTTGTTTTTAATTATTAAATATTGCGACCCCAAAATAACTTTATGCCCCCTAAAACGTTTTCGTATTCTTACGTACGTATCGTGAATATTAAAATTGCGACCCCAAGGTAACTTACATTACGTATCGTAAATATTAAATATTGCGACTCTAAAGCAATTTTATGCCCCCTAAAACGTTTTCGTATTCTTACGTACGTATCGTGAATATTAAAATTGCGACCCCAAGGTAACTTACATTACGTATTGTAAATATTAAATATTGCGACCCTAAAGCAATTTTATGCCCCCTAAAACGTTTTTGTATTCTTACGTACGTTTCGTATACTTGTGTATGTATTATTTTAGATGAACATTCTCAATTTAATTACATATGGAAAGTTCCAATAATGTACAAAACTAACGGAAGTATGTTCAAGTATTTGTTAACTACAAAACAGGCTACTATTAAATTTCCAATAGACGGCATCATAAATCCCGATCATGTTATGTACTACAAAGTAAATTATGATAGATTAACACTAAATGCTATTAAAAAAAAACTGGAACTAAACCACTCGCAACTATCTGTGCAGGATCGAACAGGAATTATTTCAGATTTATTCAGTATGGTGGCAGCAGGAAAAATAAAGATCAATGAAGCTCTTGATGCAATACAATACATTAAAGTATTTATTTTTTGATAATGATTTTTAAACTTTTCCAACATAATAACCATAGTAACCAGCTTGGTAGAAAACATGGTTTAATAATAACAAACTTAATAATAAAAAAATGAAATAATTATTTTTTATTTTTTATGCTGATGAATGTTTAAAATCATTATTATTAACTTGCCGTGTAAATAACAAACATTTATTCAGAGTGAAGACGACTATTATCCGTGGCAGGTAACTTTATCTGAGCTGAGTTTTATCAACCATGTAAAAGAAGAAGATACTTTTAAAGAAAAGTTTCGCGTTTACGTAAAGAATTTGATTTCAAAAATTGTAAATGATGTAGGGTGGGGAAATACAAACTCTATTAACAAAGGTCTGCTACAATCTTTAGTACTAGGAATGGCATGTAAATATAATACACAAAATATTGTTGACGAAGCTAAAGAATATTTCAGGCAATTATTTCATTTATAATAATTTATATCATTCTACTAAATAAAGCGTGACTTTAATAATATCATATATCGTACTTTTAAAAACATGACTTTAAAATCATTCTTTTAAATAAAACGTGACTTTAACATATATTGCACTTTTAAAACATGACATAAACAACATAATTTGTTTGAATAAAACGTGACTTAAACATAATATGATGAAAATATGAAATTGTTAACACTTTAGTCAATTTTTTTATTGCAGAACTTGGATGAAGGGGGAGAGTATAATGGTTAGATCTGATCTTCATCCATTAATTCGAGGTTGTGCAATATCACATGGCACTACTGAGTTTTGGGAATATGCATTTCAGACTTATTTGAAGAGCGGCACTCAAAAATATAGTATTTTAATGTCTTTGGCAGAAACAAAAAATGAAACAATTCTTCAAAGGTAATCATAATATTTTAATAAAACGAAAAAATTTCGATTTTCTTTTTCTAAATTTTCTTTTTTTATTTAGACTTTTAAACTACACTCTTGATACCAATATAATTGGATCACAAGACACACCATATTTATTGGGTAATATAGCGAGCAGCAGTCGCATTGGACGCGAACTAACTTGGCAATTTATAAAAAAAAACATTAACATTTTTTTACAAAGGTATGGGAATGAGTTGTTTCTCTTGCCAAGAATGTTTAGCAGCGTAGTAAGTAGTTTCACCAAAAACCAAGATTTAAAAGACATAGAGATTTTTTTTGACAATATCGTGGATTTAAGAAGTGGAAAGCAAGCAGTCAAACAATCCTTAGAAAATATCAGATCTAAGCTAGATTGGAAAAAGAAAAACGAAGAAGACCTTAATCGATGGATAGTGTACAACGTTCACTAGCTGTTCTGTTTAAAGTTAAGACATAGTAAAAATAAATATGCTAACAAATATTTTATCATAATTATAAATATGTCAACATATTAACATATATTAACATATTTTAATTATATATATATATAACTAATATATATTAATATATTTTATCAGCACGTCAGTAAACTGTCAATGAAATATATTACTTATGTAGTTATATTTTATAACAACATGTTATAAAAAGCAATATATTTAAATACTACAAGATTTTCTTTATACTAACTATCAATGTAAATATATATGTAAATTTATGTCAATAAACACATAACATATTATGCCATTTTTATCATTTTTGACATTTCAATATATGTCAATAAAATATTTGACCTTATTGTTATTAAATCATATTACGTCATTATGACAGTAAGATTTGCTGAATACGATATTTTTTAAATAAAAGATATTTGGAAAAATATAAACAAAGAGTAGGTGGGAATTTTTTGTCAAACCCAGGAAACAGGATTTGTATTGATAGAAGAGGGTAGTATTATGTCACCCAATGTAATAAGTGGGCATATTTTTTAAAAAAGGGTCCTCTCGAGTTCTAATAAATGGAGAGAGCGATAAATGAGTGAAAAAATTTTCCGAAAATAATAAACGTTCTCTGCCGTGCACCTGAGGGTACTAATAAGAAAATTTCATCAATTTAATGTTATGTATATTTTTGTTTTTTTGTAAAGCAATAAAAACCAAGTAAAAACCTGAACCTAGATCTAACCAGGTAGAATGAATCTAGGTCTAAAAAGTGACCTAATGTTGACCTATTTAGCAAGGAAATCTTTTTTTTCTTTGTTTCCTGTTGGGCATTAGTCATCTAGCAGGTTACCATTACTGATCTGGTTATTACATCATACACATGTGAGCTCTATAGCCTAACCTCGGACACTACTGTCTCTAACACTCGTTCTGTAGTTTATTAGACTAATGAACTATCACTTTTTAGTAAATCAAAGTTTTAAATTGTTTGTAATGGGAGAGTAAATAAGTAGAAGTCCTTGAATTAGAAAAATTATGACAGTGATTCCCAGCATTACCTTGGTATAAAGTTCGAACAATTTTGCGAGTTGCGTTGGCAGAACATCGATCGCAACGTTGTTTTTATACCATTATAATTGAAAAGCGACGTCGATAAACAACAAAAAACCAACGTCGGCTAAAAAACGATGTATTTTAAGTTGCCACAGCGTTAATGTTAACATTGATTCAACGTTATATTTTTAGCTGGTTCAAAGTTGCATTTAAGGTTAATTGCGATTAAATCTCTCTCTTTATACATACATATATATATATATATATATATATATATATATATATATATATATATATATATATATATATATATATATATATATATATATATATATATATATATATATATATATATATATATATATATATATATATATATATATATATATATATATATATATGTGCTGATAAAAGTTTTATATTTGTGAGAAATAAACCAAAAGCTCCTTTTCGACAAATCGAAATTTACTAGGTCGATTTTTAAAACCTGTTTAAACTGAATATTTTTGTTTTTATCAGTGACTGAAAAAATTATTTTCTAATTTTTAAGGCCGATTTTCACTTATTTTTTTCTTTTTTTTAATTTTGAGTTATAAAGTTTTTGTTGAAAACAAGTAAAAATTAATAGACGGAGAAGTCTTAATAAGCTTGGGGTAGGTGGGAAAATTTTCTAAAAATTAATCTATAAAGAACTCGAGGGAGTGGCTGAAAAAATTGAATTTTATCTGAGTTAAAGTTCACCAGCCACTGAGAGCCCCATGCAGAAGTGAGATCCTTTCAAGTTCAAATGCCCCCTCCAAGCAATCAGAGTGTTGGCTTCTTACAAATACAAAAATAAATGGTAGTATCACCAGCGAACAATGCCACCTTAGATGTGAGAATTTTTGGGAGATAATGTAAATTAATTAAAAAGAGAATAGGGCCAAGGATGGAACCTTAAGGAATTCATCGAGGACAACTTTTATACTACGATTAGTAAGGAAGGATTCAGTAATCGTAAAGATGTTACCTGATACACCGTAAGAAGATAGCTTATGAAGAAAACCAGCGTGTTAAACTTTATCAAAGGCTTTACAAATGTGAGGAGAAATAACCCTAACCTCTTCATATCTATCTAATGCACGATAAAATCTATCGTTTATTACTGTTAACAAATCAGCAGTAGGGCAACAAGATTGAAATCCATATTAATGATCAGAAAGTAAGTTATTAGATTCAAGATTAGAGATTAAATGTTTGTTAATTACACACAAAATATATCTACGTCAGTCTAATAGATGAAAAAGTGGTGTGAAGCTGGTCAACAGATAAAATCTGTTTACCCCCTTTTTAGTTTTTGTTAGGAGGTCTGTCTGTCCAAGATAAGTATTTTTATCGAGACAAAATCTCTCAAAACGCAGAAATGAGATCAGATTTAAGATCTGCTCCTTGTTTTGAACAATCCAAAAGTGATAACTTTTTGTCAAGACTAGATAATATACATAGATAATATAGTAGCGTGATTAGTAGCCACTTTAGACGTCAAACCATCATTGTAGATAAAGTATAACACAGGACCAAGGATGGAAGTTAGTGAAGATAATATAAACATAGAAGTTACTGAAAATAAAGAAGAGGGTAAATAAAGAGGGTCTTTGAGAACTACTTTAATATTGAAATATTGATACTTTAACAGTACCCCTAACGCTAACCCTGGCTTATAAAAAATAATTCTAAAAATGATTTTAAAATCTTTTTCAGATATACCATATGAAGCAAGCATATGGAGAAGACCAGCATGTAGACCAAGAAAAGCAGCAGCATAAAGATCTAGATAAAACAGTTATGCAAACTTTAGAAGATGATAGACTGCCATTTTTACCTTGTTTTGGAGCAACTTGTTCCAACTTGTATCTCGCCTGTGTGCACCATTGACTAATACTGTCACGGTTTAGTAATCATTACTAAAGTTCTGTTGCAGAGTTCTTTTAAGTATGTATTGCTTGAAAACTTTACAACTGACCCACGAGAAAAAATGTTTGGGAAAATTCGACTAGTGTCTGGACACACATTGTTTATCAATGTGTAACAAGTCATTGAAAAAATAAAAATTCAATGATAGGGTTTGGGACTTTTGGCTTTTGTAGTGTAGCCCCATCATATTGCAATGACAACTAGCATGACGTAGGGTGTAGGCGGTGAAATCAGTTGCATGGACACGCCCCTGACATGTGGCTCTAGTGCAGGTCTTGGGCTCCAATACAAACTAAATCTCCATACTGGTATAGACATTGATTCTTTATTTGAAGAAAGGGTACATTACTGCCAAAATTGTAAATACTTTCTTAGCAGCGATGCTATTGATATATATAGCAATTTAGCTTGAGCTAGAAAAGAGTGTGCAAATAGAAACATAAGGAGGATTAGTATACATAACTGGATATATTATGCAAAATGAAGTTACAAAAAGAACTTTATTACGATGAATTTGGTGATTATAAATATATAGTAATCATTATTACATATATTATTATTATATAGAATATTATATATAGTAATCAATTGTGGAGTATGAAAATATCAAATTTTTGTCAGTGGAACATTTTCTCATATATATTGTTTCATGAAATTGCTAGTAATATCTGTCAAAAGCCACTCTGCAATTTACTAATGTTGAAATCAGAGTTTTTTAACTTAAATAAAATTATGGAAATAAAACTATTTCACTTTCAAACAATTTTTTAAAAACAATTTGTATGCGACAAATTCATCTAAAGAGGCACAACAAATTCACAACAAAAGGTTTTGAAACTTTTAAAGTAAATCGTATCGTGTTTTTTTTTTTGACAACTTTACTTATATTTTCTTGACAATGTTACTTATATTTTCTGTTTGTTTTGTGATTTTGGTAAAATATCTAGAACTTTATTCTATAGCTAAGAAACTTTTGAAAACTTTGCTTCAATCTTGTTACTTATTATGTTTAATTTACATTTATTTAATATGTTTATTTAATGGTTTTGTCAAAATTTCAGCACATTAAAATACAGCTATTCAAAAATTTTTATGACCTTCTCTGATTTTGTGATTCTGTAGAAGTTTTAGCACTTTATAGCTTGGGAATATTTTACTAGGTTTTGTTCTTATAGACATGCTTTTTAGCTAGGGAATGTTTTACTAGGTTTTTTTCTTAAAGATGATGCTTTATAGCTAGGGAATGTTTTTTTTTTTAATCTTTGGAGCAAGGTTGTTATTAATAAACAGGTTTTATTTATTTGAATAAAAAAAAATTACCTATTGTTCATAAAAACTAAATAAAAAAAATTTTTACTTAATTTTTTGTAAACCATGTAGAAGTAGTAGAACATGAGGTAGGTTGTATTACATCTTATCAGAAGCAGGATGATCATGATGATCTTAATCCTTACATGACCTTAAAAACTGAAACATATTACTGAAATATATCACTGGAATGTATTAATAGAACATATTAAAAGAACATATTGCAGGAAGCAAATACTAGAACAAATTACTGAAACAAATTACTTGAACAAAATACCGGAACAAATTACTGAAAAAAAGTCTTCCTAGTTTAATTTTCAGCAATATTTAAAACACAAACAAAATAACACAGATTACAAACAAAATAACACAGAACACAAACAAAATAAAACAGAACACCAACAAAAAACACAGAAGTAACAATGTAGTACAATGTTATTAAGTAAATTCTTAGGAAACTTAATTAATCTAAATTTAAATTTTTTAATTGAAACTTTTATGCAAGATAATTCTATAATGCACAATTAACTTATTTAACAAAAAACAAAATAATAAAACGAAAAAAATTTTATTACTATAATCATTTTTACTCAAGGAATTGATTAAACATGATTATATTTTTTGATATAATCATGAAAATAAAAATTTATAAAATATCAAAATCATTTTGATATTTTATAATTGGTTGATAAACCATCAAACCAAAAAGACAAAAATTGCATTGTGTTGTTTACATTGTAATTTTATCAACATGAAATTAAAAACTACAAAACTTTATTAACTTTAACTAACTTTCAATTAAAAAAATTTATTCTTTTTTTATATAACTTTTAATTACAGTATTTTATGTTTACTTTTGGTGATTTTTAGTTGATGGATTTTATGTATATTTTAATTGACTTTTAGTTACATTTT